TATATATATAATGGACTTTTTATTTTTCTTTTTTTTGACATGGTACAGTGAGTTTGCACAGAAGCTGGCTGCCGCCCTGGCCCACAACCCGAGCTCAGGACTCATTACCATTAATGTCTCCAACAATCCTCTGGAGGACAGAGGTACAGTAAATGTTTCCATCTTCTCTGATGAATTCAGCTCTTAGTTCTCTAAAACACATCTTTACTGTATTTACTGATTAGATCTGTTATTCTCTTTATGTGTATGAGACTGAAAATACTTATAAATGTCATGCCGTTCAGTGGGATATTTATTCCTGTACATTTTTTTAAAAAATTTGCTTTCCTAGAATAAAATGACCTCAAACCGAAGCAGGAAGTGTATTCAGTTAGTGATAAGAAGACATTTAAACTTTTTAAACAAATGTAAAACGCAGACATTTAGGATTTAACAGATTTACATATAAGGCAAGAATAAATAAAGCCTGAATTCTGCTTCTTTATTCTTAAATCTGCATARTTAAATTCTTATGTTATAAAATGTTTAAGGTACAAACTTACCAACAATTTTAATATTTCTTCGTCCTTATTCTAAGATCTTCTTTCTTTCCGCGACAAAACAAAGCAGYGTGAGTGCCGCTAAATATAAATCATCATTGTTCTGAAACAGATTTCTATAAACTTAATTTTTTTCGTTTGATCTCTGTGTGAAACGGCTGAAGAATCTGTTGGATATTTTTGAGTTAAACAGGAAATTCCTCAATTAGCAAACATTTGTTTTATTAGTTTTAAAAAAAAAGTTTATTTTGTTTCAACTATTTGTTATTTTGGACTGATTAATCTCTGCGTTGCACGTGTAAAATAAACAAGAATTGGCTTTTTTTCTCAGCTGACACAAGAGAATGCAGTAAAATTATTTTGGTAACTATAATTGGCAGTTAAGATTAAAAAGCARAGTTTATTATAGCTTTGTGGTCTAATTCTCTGCTTATAGAAAACATTAAAATTAATATTCATTGAGGTCACCATCTTGCTGCAAATGGGTTTTGTATTTAAAAACAAACTGCAGCATCATGAAATAAAGCTAATGGTTAAAGTTTTTTTTTCTTTCTGCAGGTGTCTCCTCACTAGGTGCTCAGTTTGCCAAACTTCGTATGGGGCTCAAGCATTTAAACTTTTCTAAAACCTCCCTGTCACCTAAAGGTACGTGCTGTTTTCCTGCATCCCAGCTGGTTAAATGAGTCAATAGATTAGATCAGATATAACTTTATTGATCCCTTGGGACAATTCCTTCAGGGAAATTAGTGTTCCAGCAGCATCACGCAAGCAGCAAAAGTGACAGCAAGGATAACAGTGCAAAATAATATAATAATAAATATACAAGTATAGATTTAACATTTAAAAAAATCTATACACCAGTTGAAATCTATTATGGCAGTGGTGGTGTCTGCTGTGTCCTATGAATAATACAATAATAATAAGACAAGAATATTCTTAGTACTGTAAGTCATTCAAGTAACACAGGCACCCATTTGTGATCAGCTAGATCAGGGGTGCCAAACCCATTTTCACCAAGGGTCACATGAGCATCATGTTGGCCCTCAGAGGATCAGTTGTGGTTAACTTTAATATTTCATGTTTAACTTTGACTAAACACAAAACATTACGTTCCTCGTTTCATTGCTACAGCTGAGCGCCACTGCATAGGAACAGCATTTCAACATGTCTTCTTATAAATAATGAAAAATACTATGTGCATAATGACTAAACATGGAATAAATGCTACAGGAATACTAGTAAAAATGAAAATAAAAGAGCTTTACTCACTGATGAGTTGTAGTGAGTAGAAGCCATCTTGAATTCTGAACTCCCCCACTTTCTGACACCACTCAGTTTAATTTGATGACTTGTTAGTGTGAAGTTACCRTTTCACAGTACAACTAGGCTGCAGCAAAAGTAGCCGACAAAAGTGCAGCTAACTTACATGGCCGGCTACCCTGTACAGCTCCACATAGTGGTGGGACGTTGTAATTTGGCAGGTAAAATAATCAACATGCATTAAAGGAGATTTAGCTGATGGTCAGTGCTGGCTTTAAAGCAGTGGTCCCCAAACTTTTTCCTGTAAGGGCCACATAGCTTTTCCCTTCTCTGGTGGGGGGCCGGAGTCAGTTTGTAACAGAAAAAGTGTGACTATTGCAGGAGTGCCTAAATGTAAAAATTTATTGTTTTCCAGAAAGCACAATCAAATAACCCTCTCTGGGTTCTTCATGTATTCTGCTGAGCTAACAGTCCACTTTTTAGCTTTGAGAGTTTGTTTGCTCGCATTTAGCCTTGCAAGCTATCATAGTTGTCTTTGTGACGGGATTCATAGTGTCGCCGCAGATTGTATTCTCTGAATAACGCCACCGCCTCTTGACAGATGAACAAAAAAATAATCGTTTGTCCACTGCAGCTTAAATGCCCTGCATTCTGAATCAATTTTTCTCTTACCTAATCTTTTCGCCATTACTCCGTTCTCTCTTCGAGAGGGGCGGGTTTAGGATTTTTTTCTGGGGGTTGCCAGATAGGGGCACAGACCGCAGAAGGGTGGAACAGAATGTCACGTTATGTGCGTGTATGTATTAAATGGTTACTAACTAATAATAGTTAATAATGAAAATAGTTCATAACTCAGGAACATTTTATTGCAAAAGTCCAGCTTTATAAACAAATATAAATACACATATATGAAAAAAAAACTAAATGTTCTCTGGTATTGTTCTGGGGGCCGGAYCAAATGGCAGCTTTTTTTTCTCTCCCTCCTCTGCTCTGCACTCACTCTGCATGCTGTTACCAGAGCAGGGAGCAGCARCGGTCAAAATACCTCAGAAACTCGAACAAATAGGCTTTAACAAGGCTTTAATAAGCTAAACAATAGAGGTACATGAGAAAACGTGTTCATAACGAATGAAAATAAATAAATAATTATATAATGTCCGTGCCAGTCTTGAATCCTGGTCTCCCACTCTCTGGTCCAGCACTCTACCCATTACCCTATTTGAGGCTTGTTGTGAAATGAGCTGCGCATTGCACAACAACAACGACCGTGACGGCTTTTTATACTGAGGAGGTTGAGTCTCACCCGGGGGGTGCTAGATGAGGGGCAGAACGCAGGTTCCGGTGGGTTGTCGTACGGCTTGTGACATCACAAAATGACGGAAGTATAAAACTTCTCGTTAATATACATTAAAAATACATTTACTTGCCGTAAATATGCCCCTGGGTGCATTTTTTGGTCCTAGGACTGTTTTTTTAAGAAGTACATACCCAAAGTTGAGTAAAAAAACTTTAAAAAGTGAATTTTGCATAATAGGTCCCCTTTAAAAATATTCTGTACTATTCTGACTGCAGCTCCTACTGTAATAATAAGACTTGATTAATGCAGAAATAACTCAGTAACTGTGATATTTTATACACTGTATGCTCATTTTTGAGGATGACATTTTACGTGTTTTAATTTGCATAAGTGCTGTTTCCAGGGCATTTAACTTTATTTAATATATTTTTGACCTGATGAAACGTCCTGCTAGTCTTAAAAAATGCCCTGAATAAAAAAATCATTTGTTAATCTTAATCCTATTAACACTGAATGTGTCTATGAGTCAAATATGACTCACAGGTTACATTTTTCTTCCCATTCATCCAATTTAAACTCTGTCAGTCCGATGGGACTGTGTGTAAACATGTTCTGCTCTCAGACAATCAATAAAGAGCTATCATGTTCCATCGTGTGGGTTAGAACGAGCTCACTCTTTCTAAACTGAACCCAGATTATCTGCTAAAGGTTAAATCTATACGCTGCGTCCCCACAGGATTGAGTGTGCAGTTTTTCTCTTTTTTTAGTACCAATTTTATTTTGATGTTTAGTATCTAGTGTTTGTTTGTTTTTCTCCTCTCTCTTCTTTCTTATATCGCATTCTTTTTCATCTCTTCTCCTCCGTCTAGCTCGATCAAAACTTGACAGCATACATCCAGTCCGGACTTCAAAGAGTAGATGTGTCAGATCAGTGTGTCGACCGTGGGACAGATATGACACAGATTAGTGGCTGTACATCAGCGTAAAGCTGCACGCTGCCATCAGCATCAATGCACACACAAGCTTTATCTCCCAAATATAAACTGATCATATAAAACACTGCAGCACTTCATAATGTTTACAGCTCAGTATATATTCTGTTTGTTTTGATGTATTTTCTAAGATAAAAAAGGGAAATCTCATATTTATAAAAGCATGAAACGTGGAAACATTACTTTATATTCTGATCATCATCTTTCCCGTCTCAGTTCTCATTTCCTCTGTCATTCTCTTCAAGATGTCAGAACATCCAGTGGAGATCTGAGTTGTGATCATGCTCACACTGTGGGTTCATTGGGCCTCATGCAAGAACCGTTCGTACGCACAGATTTGTTCTTAAGTTGTGCGTACGAGTGATTTAGGGGAATTTGTGGCATTCACCAATGTTTTCGTATTCTAAGATTTTTTTCAGATACGAACAAAATTCACGAGTGGTCCAGACCTGTCGTATATTTTACGAGCAGTCAGTCTGCTGTTGTGCAGACGGGGTTTCCTCTCTAATAACTTTAAATTTTGTTAGTTTGAAGAAATTTTGAGTTGAAAATAAATTACACTCTAAAATTATGTTGACAATTGGCTATTC